TTCTTTCTGAAGTCCGTTTGAATCCCGCTTTGGCAACTAATTCAGAGACTGACGTTGGGCCGTATTTCTTGAAAATAAATCGGACAGCCTTGTTTTGGATTCTATCTAGTTTATGGATATTGACATTGGTGTAAGGATCCCAGATAATGTTTCCATAATCAAAAATGGGTTGGATAAGAGATTTGTACGCCAGAATTTTAGTGTCGTATGATGAATACCGAAGAGAGCGTCTCAAAAAATGTAATTTCATCATTGCATCATTAGATATGTAGTTGATATGTCGATCCCAGTGGAGGTTGCTACATATATGCAAGCCTAGATACTTGTACTCTGTTACTCGATTTAGGATATTTCCATCAGCTGTGTAATTGTAAACAAGGGGACACTTCTTATTTGTTATCGACATGGCTACACTTTTTTGATAGTTTACACACATTTGCCAAGAATTACACCACTTCATGAGTTTCTCAATTTCTGTGTTAAGCTTTACTTGGTCTTCAACTGTGTGAATAAGAGAATACAACGCACAATCATCCGCGTATAATCGTATTTTAACACTGCAATTATCAACAATATCATTAATGAACACCAAAAACAACAACGGGCCGAGCACAGAGCCCTGGGGAACCCCTGAGCCAACAGGTAACATGTTTGAGGGAGTGTCTTTAAAAACAACGTATTGCTGCCGGGATGTTAGATACGATTTAATCCAGCTACACAGTTTTCTGTTTTTTAATAATGTGTTCAGTTTAATGAGCAATTTAGAATGGGAAATCTTGTCAAATGCTTTAGCAAAATCTAAAAAAATTACGTCTATCTGTTTTCTCTCATTAATAGCTGTGGCGAAGTCATGTGTCATTTCAACCAGTTGAGTTACAGTAGAAAAGCCATGACGGAACCCATGTTGCATTGGTGTTAATATTGAGTAATTTTCCAAGAAGAGCGTAATATGCTTATGAATAAGATGCTCGAGAATTTTACAACACGTGCATGTTAAAGCTATAGGTCGATAGTTAGAAATAAGTTGCTTATCGCCATTTTTAAACAGTGGTTTTATCTTGGAAATTCTCCAGTCATCAGGCAAAGTACCCGTCAAAAGGGATGTACGGTAAATAATTAACAAAAATTGAGATGACCACTCAGCGTATCGTTTAAGGAATGCATTAGGTATATTATCGGGTCCGTATGACTTTTTCACATCTAAATTAAGCGAGAGGTTATATATTCCACTTTCTCTTATTTCCAAATCTTCAATCGGAGGCAATGTCTGGAAATTGTCAAATAAGGGTATGCTACCATCATCTTTGGAAAAAACGGATTCATAGTGGGTGTTGAATGCATCCGAAATCTTAGCAGCATCGGATGTGAAATCATTGCCTATGTTAAATGTATTAGTACTTGAGGTCTTTGGTGTGATGGTCCTCCAAAACTTAGCTGGTGCCTCCTTTACCAGCGTGCCTAAACGGACGTTATAGAAGTTGAAACGTTCCTGCTTCATCTTTTTCTTAAGTTCACGAGAGAGCATTGCCACTTCAGCGATACGTTTTTGACTACTGTTCTTCTTAATTTGTTTCCTGGCACGGTTTAGTTTTCTTTTAATGTGAATGCTATCACGCGTTATCCAAGGATTCGCAGAATTGATTTTTCTATACTTGACTGGTATAAAGAGCTGAATGCAGGCGTGAATTGTATTTTTGAATTTCAGCCATAATGAATTGACGTCATACACTTCAGTGATCATACTACTGCAAAGTTCATCGTAGGCTATTTCCAGTCTGTCTAATATCGACGTATCATCAGCAGCTGAGAAGTCAGGAAAATGAGATACGTTAACGATGGGTTTCTGCAGTAATGAAGAGAACTCTATTAAAACACATTTATGGTCGGAAATTCCCTCAACTATTTCACATTTAGAATCACCACGAATACTTGAACTAACAAAAACAAGGTCAAGCACAGATTTACTAGTTCCGTGAACACGTGTGAAGTCTTTAACTAGTTGGGTTAAACCAAATTGAAATGCAATATCAATTAATGCTTCATTATTATTTGCGTCGCTTCTGTCAGCCGAAAGAGTGTTCCAGTTAATGCCGGGGAGGTTAAAATCACCACACAAAATAAATTTAGTGTTATCAGTTGTATTGCAATCAACCTCCTTTTTTCTACACGTACTGAATAACGCGTCTATCCAGGTGTAGCGTTAAGCTGCTGCTCTCTGGCGGCATTAGCGCGAAACTCCACCGCCCAACGGGAACCGACCGACCGACCGACCATCATCCGAACTTGTTTTCCATTTCATGGAACGCTCTCGGGCCAGGACGCCTCTATGAAAACAGAGGTGCGGCTTTCGAGATTAGGTAGATACACAGGCTTTCGTATAGTGTGGGACCCCTGTTAGCGTGTTTGTGTTGTGTGTGCTGAGTTATCTATAAAAGTCACGATAACGAAACATGGCAAAAAAAAAAAAAAGTGAGCGAGGGCTAGAGACAAATGTACTTAGGGACTGTGGACGCAGGCGTTAGTAGTCTGCTTGTAAACCCCGCAAAGAAAAAGTATTCATATATATTAAATAAAAAATCTGGGGGAGGGGAGAGCACTTTCAGGACTGGGGAGGTCAAAACGTAAGCAGGAAGCCTTTTATAAGACGGGTGGGAGGAGGGTAGAGGAGGAGGAGGGAAGCGACACCTTTATCGTGGCGATACGTCTGTGGCAAGGGGCCGTCCGAAAGACCTCCCGACTACAGTATCCCGACTCCGCGGGCGCAAACCGGAAAAACACGATGACTCAGCGCCGCGCCGCAAACACAAACAAACAAATCGGAGGTGCCAACACGGCTTAATCTCCCCGGAAGACGAACAAACCCTCGCCAAGGAGAGAGCATCTACAATAATAACAATAATAGTAACAATGGAAACACCGAAGCCAGGGTTGAGGAAAGAATTCGCGCTAACGCTCCGTTTGCAAGCAACTCGCCGATTCGTACTTTTCGTCAACGTTAATAAAACACTTGGTTAATAAAAAAAACCACCGGTGACCAAAGCATGGCGTTTACATGCGACAGCCGTGACAAACGGATGCAACCCGCCCCCTCGATTTCAAAGCGGCGCAGAATCTAAGCAGCTAACCTACCAGGGTGGTTCAGAGATAAAGAAAAGATCATTAGTTTTAATATTTCGGCTCGCTCTATGTTACATCATCATTTTGGCCCGAAAAAAAACCTAACTATTTATACGTCTAAATGCACGTTTAACTGTCCGCTCCAAAACCACAACAACCCGTTTCTTCGAAACTAAGAAATTAAAGCTGGCTTCAAAGCGTGAACAATGAGGCATCGTTTTTGAGAATTTCGTTTTCATGGTGACGCTTACAATAATAAAAAAAAACTGTACTCTATCATACGTAATTGAGTGTACGACCAGTAGAAATAGGTTCACGTATTTAAAAAAAAAAAAAAAAAGCGGTATCATGTAACGCCATTGGCCCGTTCGGTGTTAACTGGCCAGAGAGATACGCGAATAAACAACAACGATAACAACAATAAAGCGAAAGAGATAATAACGAGCTACGCAGGCATCGACATAACCATGCAGTCGGCGCGGCGCAACAGCCAGAGAAAATGTAGCGGCATGCGGCGATGCCGAACACAAGAGCGAGGAGGGGGGGGGTGAGGAGGAAAAACACGTGCCGTAAAAGCGAGCCGGCAAATCCTGCCACAGCACGCATAGCAGCAGCAGCAGACAGGGGCGAGCCCGCAAAAGTAAACAGCGCGCTGAGGAGAGGGCGCGTAGGAACGAAAGAGAAGAGAACAAAAACAGAGAAAACAACGCAGAACAAGGAAAGAAGAAGCGAACGAAGCCACTACCCCCCCTCCCCCCACCCGCCTGAAAACGCTAGGCTGACGGCGCGTAGTCTATCTTTCTCCCTCTCTCACGCACAAAAAAAGAAAAGAAGAGCCTGGGGATGGATACGCAAAACTCGAACCAACGCTACTACGTCGCGAAGCTGGCAGTCGCGGCGAACGCTATTGCAACAAAAAGGAAGGAAAAAAAAAAAAAAGGACGCAACGATGCCGCAAAAGAAGGATGTTAGACGAAGAAACATCACGGAGATGATAAAAACTGTTGGGAGCGAGGAGTGGGAAGGGGGGGAGAGGGAAGGTGAACACGTTTGATGAACAGCTAAACAGGAACAAGCGGCAGTTGCGACTGCACGGCACAAGTGGGGGAGAAGGGGGGGATGACTGCTTAGACGAAAACGACCCGACTTCTTCCGCGGAAAGCCCACCAGGCCTGGCCCGGGCCACCGCCGAATGAATGAAAAGGTATAGACTCCGAACGCGTTCCGTGCAACCCGACGCGTTTTCGAAAAAAAAAAAAAAAAAAGGTCGACCTTAGGCTACGGTACGCAGTTAGATCGCGACGTTGTTCACCCCTTCCGATACTAGTTTCCTCATAACAAATACGGGATCGGTGCAGTGAATGGGGTGAGGAGGAGGTGGAGAGAGTAAGCAACAAACTGCGTTTAAAAGGCAAGCACGCGGCGACACGCGCAAAGCCGAAACTCGTTTTTCAATGTCAGCCCCCGTGGAGGTGGCGGGTAGGGTAAACAAGGAGCCCCTCCTCGCCTACCTGCTTGCTAACCACACCTGCTAACCCTGCCGGGACGCAATGTAAACAAATTGGCCGCCAATCGACAACAACAACAAACCAAACACGGCAATCGAGAAGCGCCCGCGAGCGCGTTGGTGGTTCGAACCGCTAGCCCAACTATGATTCCAGACGAGGTTCGTGAAGAGGGGTTTACAAATGCGGAAGGCGAAAAAAAAAAAAATGTGAGAGCACCGCGTCGAGCGGTCAACATCGCGACGCGAACACGCATAGCAACAAGCGCAGCCCCCGACCATGTGTTGGTCAGGCCTAATGGCACACATGGTTTCTCGTCGGCGCTACACACACGGTCCGACGTTAAACGCGTCTCGCGTACGAAACATCGCCACTCACGTCTTGGGCAGCGGCATCGGCGCGGCGCCCTTGCGCTGGAAGACTCCGTCCACGAAGACTCCGTTCTTGCCGTTGCACACCATGAAGAAGTGCGCACACTCGTAGAAAATCTCGAGGTGCTGGCGCGAGATGAAGCTGGAGTGGCCCATATTTACATCCACCTCGCCGCGGCTGCTGTTGCGGCCGATGGAGATGCGCTTCTGGCGGATCAGGTACTCGAACTCGCGACCTTCTAGCTTGGCGATGGCTGCGCCCGTGCGTTCCGGGTTCCACTGGAGTCGCGACGGGCTTGACGGGGCCGACTTGAGGGCCAGCAGGGCCCATGCGTCGTTGTCCGAAGCCCGCTGATGCGTCGACATTACGGGCCCGTAGCACACCGCGCTTCCAAAATGGCGACCGCCTGATGGAGCCCCCAGCAGACGTCCCGGCATGCATCGCGCGCGGAGCCCGGTCACGTGACTGGCCTTATCCCTCTCTCTCGCAGCTTGCGCCTCGCCCGCCGCTGCTGCAGCCGACGCGTTTTGCATCGACAAATATTGCGTGTGTGTGTGTGTGTACTTCACGATGGCTCTGGGCCACTTCTTACACCGTGCTCTGGGCGCTTCCTCGTGAAAGAAGAAAAAAAAATGAAAGAAGGCAGCACCGACGACGGGGGCTGGTAAATCGAGTAGCCCGCCGACGTATAGCGACACCGGTTTTCAGCCGGCCGTAGTAGTGTTGGATCGGTGCAGCGTTGTCGACGCTAGCTGGCGGCGGCGCTTGCGACATGCGAAGCGCGTATCCCCAGATCGATACAGTTGAAGGGGGAGTAGAGAAGGTGCGTCTCCGCGCAGAATGCGGGTCTCTGTGTCATGTTTACATTCCCCGTTCGCTGCTCTTCCTCTTCTTTCCCCGTCTCTTTTTACGCTCGCCCCGCTAGCGTTTATTACGCGTTCACTTCCCCCACCACGCAGTTGTCGCAGCCGATCTCCTTCAAATGTCCGCTCCCTGGGATCCGACTGCAGCCATGCGGGCCTCGATATTGAAAAACCGCCACGGGCTGGCCGATGGAACAAGACAAATAAAGCCGACGGCTAGCGCTCGCTGTTGCGACACCCCCAGACTGGCGGCGCTTTTTCGATGCCTTGCGCAAGGCCGTCTGGGTTCTCTGTATATACACTGTATCTAACGGAGCAGTACATGTATCAACTATCGAACAGGGAAGGCACTACACGCACGCGCAGTCGCAAATGGGGGGGAGCGCGTGTCCTTTTAAAACGGCGGCTGTTCTATAAACTGAAAAGACCTTCACGGACACTAGCCGTCGGCGCTTTTTCAAGTACGTCCGACGTCATCTCGAGGAATTATTTGTTTTTAGGAGCGTGTGCGGGGGGGCACGTTGTTTATCATCCTGTTGCTAGGAGGAAGACGGCGTGCCTAAAGCGGAACTGACGCTCGCGCTGAACGCGGAAACGGAGGGGCGCTTCTAGTTCTTTCGTTTGCGGTTTGGTGGCAGCACATACCGCATGATCTTTGGTTCTACTTTTTTTCTTTTTTTCGCTTTATTTCTATGGCTGGCTGTAGGGCGGTACGATAATCGCCGTCGTTCTAACTGCAGTTAGTACGACGATGACTAAAAGCAAGGCTTATGAGCCTCGCTTTTATTTTAATTCAATGCAGTGTGGTCGCTAAGATAAAGCAGCGTGAAGACTTGAGCGTGAAAAAAAAAAAAACACTAAGAAAGGGCGAATCAGGATGGAGTCGTTGCAGTGTTCGCTGGCAAGGGGGGTGAGGGGGGGGGGTCGATTTCAGACTGTCATTACAGATGATGCAGTTTTACGAATGTATCGTGTGTGCAAGATACGTAACACTTATCGAAAGCATAAAAATTTAGCTTTCTTGGCGCCTTCGTGGTTGCGCGCTTTATGGGGCATGTTTGAGTTAACGTGGCGAGAGGATATTATCTGTACAGCATATATTAATCATCAAAAACAACACGTCGAATCCGTACATGAGTTAGATATTCATTAATAGCAGATTCTTTTCAGAAACGCGTGTCGTAATTTAATAGTCGGGGGAAAATAGCTGCTGAAATATGTATGTATGGGATTGATGATTGATTGATTAATATGTGGGGTTTAACGTCCAAAAACCACCATATTATTATGAGAGACGCCATAGTGGAGGGCTCCGGAAATTTCGACCACCTGGGGTTCCTTAACGTGCACCCAAATCTGAGCACACGGGCCTACAACATTTCCGCCTCCATCGGAAATGCAGCCGCCGCAGCCGGGATTCGAACACGCGACCTGCGGGTCAGCAGCCGAGTACCTCAGCCACTAGACCACCGCGGTGGAGCATATGTATGTATGTATGTATGTATGTATGTATGTATGTATGTATGTATGTATGTATGTATGTATGTATGTATGTATGTATGTATGTATGTATGTTACAACACTTCGTCGACGTGCAACTGCAAACCATTCGTTTTTTCGAGTTTGTACTTCTTGAACTTTCCTTCACATTTTTTTCTTAACTTTAGGAGAAAAGAATTCTAACCTCTCATTCATTGATTCATTTATTATTCTTTCATTCATTCGTTCATTCATTCATTCAAGTGCATTGTGTTTACTCACCCTCGCCAATGTCGTATTGTAATGTACCATCGAAACGACGCGAAAAACATGAAAGAGCTACCTCAGTCATTTCGCTATCACCGTTGATGCATATCAGAGGAAAAGCTGAGTTAGCTAATACGCATTCCAAAGCTTGAAGATAATAGAACCATTCATTGGTAAAGAACGCGCAGTTCGAAACGCGCGCAAATGCAGCGTGTGTTGGACAGCAGCGGCATCACACGTACGTGTAAAAAACTACCAAAGAAAAAATATTGTAGCCTCCGAAATAGTCGACTGCAAAACAAGAGGTGGGTAGTTTGACGTGTATAAACAAAAATTAAAAAAGTATAGTTAGCTTATACTCTACTACCACAAAATGTTTCACTGGAACTATCTAAAAAGTAGTAAAAAAAAAAAACAGATGAGCACTTGACATTAATAACCAGTAGATCATTTGCAAAATTGTGGCGCCACTCAACGGACTCTTTAAAAAGTGCTGCCTGCTAAATAGATAATACTACGTAAACGTCGTAGTTAGTTTTAAAGCTTATAAGCAAACCTAAACAAAACAATATGTAGCATGCTTCATGAATCAGAAACATTACCCTACTTTAACTCACTTAAGTAATAATTGTGCTGAAATTCATTGTCACGTAATGTTACTGGCGTAAAATTATGCGTGCTGCTAATTCGCACCGAGAGTGATAAGCAATAATTGCGCCAATACTAAATTAGCCAGAATGTAGCGTCCTTGTACAAAGCTCTAGCAAATTATGACGACAAAAAGTGGAGCCTCCAAGATAGCCAACAAAGCGTGAAAGCGGCACTGATTATCTCAAAAGCGCTCCCCCCTCCCCTCAAACATTGTGTCGTAATTCGCAATCTGAAATTATTTATTCAAAAATATAGCGGTAATTTTACTAGAGTTAATATTTAGCATCGCGTTGTTCAGCGCCTTCTCACGTTCAGTGTTCATTAAAACAAGCCACCACCAGTCTGTTTAGTTATTGTCGGTAGGGACAGATGGCGACACATTACAACTCAAAACTATTTGTCGTTTTTTTGTTCTTCATTTGTACTTAATTTGATACAACGACCTGAATTTCACGTAATCACAAAAACATCGCTTCTGACGCGCATTGGAGTAGTTGTGTCCTATGCATAAATTTCAGTTTCGAGGTAAATATGGCACTGAAGCGAGAACAAAGCGTGGAAGTTAGCCCCTTATGACAAAAATGCACGGGGTTTCTTGAAATATTGCTAAACGATTCTAAACCGAAGCAGTGTAGCGAACAGCACATTCAACTTCAACCAGTACAAGCTTCAAAATTAAAAGAAAAAAAAAAGTTACGCAGCCGACAGGATTCGAACCTGTGCGGGGAAACCCCAATGGATTTCGAGTCCATCGCCTTAACCACTCGGCCACGACTGCACGGCTTCAAAATCGCGTTTAACACATTGATGAACATATGAGCTTGTTTCTCGTTATTTTTTGGTTAAATTGGCAGTTTTATGAGACGCCGAGCCCTGATTCACGTTGTCCTTGGTTAATAAATAGTTGAGGTGGTTTTACGAGTTTCTTTTACTATCCTTGTAAGTGGTTGAAATTTTCTCCGTCTGCTCGTCTCCGAAGCGTACATTTTAACATTAATATGTATTGGTGTAGTAAATGCTTGTGTTAGGGGAGTGACGGTCAGAACACACTGACAAGGGATTGTGCAGGTCTAACAGAACTGTTCATTGCTTACCTGTCAGGCCAACAAAAACTCATTGGGCGCGTTATGTTTGGGCGCTCCAAACTCGAAAGGCGTAAGCTCGAATGCGCTGCGTCGTGACACCTTTTTACTTAGCTTTGCGGTGAATTCGGCCGACTGCTTTCGTGGGCTCAAAACCGTCACATGGCGAATGTTACGTCGCTTACACGGTAGAAACGAGTGGCGAATGAGAACACGCACTGCATCGAAGAAGAGTCGAGAACACTTCGTTCTTCTGGAAGCCGTAGCAATCGCAAGCCTTCGCGCATCGTCTCAGGGTTGGAGCGGATTGCGGAGCTAAAGCACTAAGTGCTTTAGCTCCGCAATCAGGCACCGGAAGTCGCTGTATAACAGTTAAGTTTGCAAGAGCGCGTTCCGCGGCTAGAGTGCGCTCGAGCTTTTCAACATAACGCGCGCGTTTATCGATAAGCACCAAAAGTAGTTGTAATTCACAACTCATAATAACAAGTAAAAGTTAAATTAATTAAGTCGAAAATATTGTTATTATTTGAGTTTGATTGTGTATTAAAGTGAAGGCTATCTGCATATGCTGTTTACTGCGTGCTTACAGGAGGTTTTCAGAAGCCTAGAATGGGAACAGTTAGGAATAAGAGTTAATGGAGAGTACCTTAGTAACCTGCGCTTCGCCGATGACATTGCATTGCGGAGTAACTCATGGGACGAATTGCAAATCATGAATGCGGAGTTATACAAGGAGAGCAGAAAGGTGGGTCTTAAAATTAATCTGCAGAAAACGAAAGTAATGTACAACAATCTCGGAAGAGAGCAGCGCTTCGAGATAGATGCACTTTATATTATAAAATACTATGTCTTCTTAGGGCAGGTAATAACCGCGGAACCAAACCACGAGATTGAAGTAACTAGAAGAATAAGAATGGGGTGGAGCACGTTTGCCAAGCACTCTCAAATTATGAAAGGTAGATTGCCATTATGCCTCAAGAGGAAGGTATATAACAGCTGTATCTTGCCGGTACTTAGCTACGGAGCAGAAACCTGGAGACTTACAAAGAGGG